TCCATTTTCTATTACTGTGTAACAAATCACCACAAATTTAGTGGCTTAAAACAACACACCTTTATTATCTCATAGTTCCTGTGGGTCAGAAATCTGGGCACAGCTGCTGGATTTCAGAGACTCATAAGCCTGAGCTCAAAATGTGACTTGGCCGGCGTTCTCATCTTGAGGCTCCCCATCCAAGTTTGTTCAGATTGTTGGCAGAACTCATTTATTTGAGGATGTAGACTGAGGGCCCTGGCTTCTTACCTGGCTCTCTGCCAGATGCCACCCTCAGGTCCTGTAGGCCGCCTGCAGACCCCTGCTACATGACCCTTCCTGTAGACAGTTCAGGACATGCCAGTTTGTTTCTTTGAGCCCAGTGAGAGACCCCCTCTGACCTCAGGGAGAGCCCAGGCTCTCAGTTAAGGGCTTTTATCTCATTAAGTCAGACCCACCCAGGGTGGTCTTCCTTTTAAATAATTCAAAATCAAGTGATTTGGAATGTTCATTACACCTGTGAAAACTCTTCATCTTAGTGTAACCCAATCACAGGAATGAGAACTTATTCACAGCCCTGGCCACGCTCAAGGGAAGGGACTTACAAGGCAGGGGTGGGAATCTTGGGGGCCGTCTTAGAATTCTGCCTCCCGCAACCAGCCTTGAGAAGTACAAGAATCACAGACTACTGGGAACTTTTAGTGTGACAGACAAGGTGGATCAATCTAATCCCATAGATGTGGTTGGTACTTACTGACAACAAAATAAAAGTAAAGATGCTAAGGGCCTCCAATGCACTGGATCTGTGAGGAAAAGAGTGTGGGGACGGGAGCCCTGAACCCTGGTAAAGACTGGTCTCGTTTTCCCACCTCTGTTCTAATCAGTCAGGAGAGCTCTGTCATTTACTCTTTAGAGGTATATGCTCCATAAGAAGAAACTTGAACCTTGGTGGTTATTTTAGCATTTCTACAGGAAGGAAAGGGCCCTCAGTTTCTGCTGGAGATGCTTCAAAGAGGCATCTATTCCTGCCCCTTGAAGAGTAGTTGTTATCTTAATTTTTTAAATGTGTAATTTTTAAGATGGATACTTTTCTGGAGAAATTTATAAGCGCTGACACCAGAAGAATAGAAAATCTAAACAAAACAATTGTCATAGAAGAAATAGAGAATTTGTCAGTTATCTCTCAAAAAAAATCAGGAAGAGCAGTTCACAGGGGAATTTTAACAGTCTCTAAGCAACAGATATTTCCAATGGTATTTAAACTATTACAGACCGTAGAAAACAAGGATATTTCCTGCTTCTTTTTATGAAATAAACATTTATATTTAAACCTAAGGAAGATTTGTCTAAAGTGAAGGCATTGAGGAATCTTACTTATGTATATTATGCAAAAATCCTCAACAAATATTAGCAAAAGGATACAGTAGCACAGGTTAAAAACATGCATATGTGCAAACTGGCACGCACATTCCTACGATGGTCTTGTGGGGCTTACTCCAGGAATACAGGGACAGTTCGGGACATCTGCTGTGTCACTCATCATGTTAACAGATCTGAGGGAATGATTATTGGATCATCTCTATAGGTACTAAAAATGTATTTGACAAAATACAATACCCATTCTTCATAAAAACTCTTAATAAAAATAAGTAGGTACTTCCTTAATGTGGTAAAATATATCTGTCTCAGACAAGAACCTAGAATCATGCTTAGTAGGGAAACACGAAAAGCATGCCCAGCTAAAGCTAAAAATGTTCTAGAATGTTTGCTATTGCCACTTTATCCACCACTGTCCTAGAAGTCCTATCAACACAATTAGATAAGAGACAGAAATACAAGGTTTACAAGTTGGAAAGAATAGGTAAAATGATCACTTATATTGCAGAAGATATGATGTGTACCTGGAAAATCTAAGGTAATTCCCTAAAAAAAAATCTTTGAAAAATTCAGTAAGGGGAAGGGTACAAAATTACTATAAAAAATCAAATAGCATTTGTATATTTAAACAACAACAAGTTAGAGGATACACTGCATTTCAAATCAGGGCAAAAGATAAATTAGAAACAAACTTAATAAGAAATGTGTAAGGTCTTTCTGAAGAAAACTTCAGAAAAATGCTCCTGAGAGACATGAGAATGACTTGAACAAAAGGAATGGTATATCATGTTCTTGAAAGGAAGATGAATATAAAAAGATGCCATTTTTTTCTAAATCAATAAATAAGCAAGTTCATTTCAATATCCCAATGAAAAATAAACTGGCAACATGAGACAAAAAAATTGACATAGAAGAATAAAGAGAAGTGTACATTCCATTATGGCAGTGATATTTAACTAGATTAAAGTATCCAGTAAAACATTAGAAAGTTCAGAACTTAAGTAAATGATGAAAATGGCATATCAAATCAATAGGAAAACAAAGAATTACTGAATAAATGATGCTGGGACAATTAAATAGTCATCTAGGAAAAGAAAATTTACTTAATCCAGAGCTCACACTAATACTAATACAGCATAAATTCCAAACAGATCAATGATTTTAATGGAAACATGAAGCCACAAAAATTTAGAAGAAATGATGGTAGAGTTTATTTATAACTAACTCAAAGCTGGCCTTCCACTCGTGACACAAAACTCAGCCAAAACACTAATAAATTTGACCATGTGAAAAAGAATGTATACAGCAAAAACAACTGGGGAAAAGTTATTTGCAGTTCATAACAGATCAGCAACCTTTCCTAGCACAGAAGGAGTTTCTGATAATTGAGGAAGAAAAGATCATAGCCCAATGGGTAAAGGGTAAGAATGGACTGTTTACAGAAAAGGGAATACAAATAGTTCTTAAACATATGAAAGGTTGTTTTGGTCTCACTCAGACTAAATTCTTTCAAAAATATATGTATTTTTTGGTGTTTATTATGTGCCAATAATATTGGCCATTGGGTATAGGAGGTACAGTAGTGAACCACACTAAAGGTTTCTGCTGTCATGGAGCTTACATTCAGTGAAAAAGCAAATTAAAGCTACACTGAGGTGCCATTTTCATCTGTCAGATTGGCAAAAATCCCCAGAAGCTTGACGTCATACTCTGTGGCAAGGGGCAATAGGTCCTCTCATATACTAAGGTAAGTTGAGAGGCAAAAATTGGTACAATGTCTTGGATAGTTCATTTGGCAATAACTATCCAAGTTACAAATGTGCAAGCCCTTTGAGCCAGCAATTCTATTTCTAGGAATTTATCCTCTAGATTTACTTATATAAGAGAGAAATGTCATATGTACAAGTTTACTGCTAGTTTGTTTGCAATATCAAAAGATTAGACACAATCTAAACAAGAGGTCATTTAAAGACACGGTGGTATGGAGTACCAAGAATACTAGGTAGTTGTAATACCAGGTATTTGGAATACTATGAAGTTGTGAAAAAGGAATGAGGAAGCACTTATGTGGAAAGATCTCTAAGATATATCATTAATGACATATCTGAATGATATTCTACCAATTGTGTAAATAAGGACAAAAATACATTTTAATAGCATATAAAAGTACAAATTTATCCTCTATCCATCTACCCACAAAAAACTAATTGGCTGCCTTGGTTGTCTGTGGCAGAGGAACAGGAGAAGGGAAGGAACCACATGATGTGGTGGGATGCGTATGGGAGATGGGGCAAGAGGGAACATTCACTGAATAGCCTTTCATGGTTTAAAAATTTTAAATCATGTGAATGTATTCCTTATTCAGAAAATTAAATCCAAAAAATAAGTTTTTCTTATCAAAAAATTTTTAAATTGAAG